ACAATGAGACCATTTATCTTTAGTATATGGTGGTACAATTAATTTAACTATAAGATGTGTTATTTCATTGACCAAACTCAAACTTTAAAGGAAATTTTCTCATACTTTGTGACACACCCAAGCTACCAGATTTCACGTCAAATAATTATAAGTAATTGCGACTTCCTCGTATAAAAGGCAACCGTCTTATTGTATGCAATCTCTCTCTCTCTCGAGAGTATTATACAATGAGACCATTTATCTTTAGTGCATGGTAGTCATAATTAATCTTAAGATTTGGATAATAAATTAGATGTCTACATTCGTTTCATTGACCAAACTCAAACTTCAAAAGAAATTTTCTCGAACTTTGTAACACACACAAACTATCAGATTTCACATCAAATAATTGTAAGTAGTTGTAACCTCCTTCCATAAAATGTAATGGTCTCATTATATGCAATCCCTATATACACACACACACATGATTATATTCAGAGACCCTTATCTTTGTTACAATGAGGTTATTGTTACTCCTAGCCAATAAACATCAATTTGAATGATTTGGGGCATGTCATGAAGTTCAAAAAATTATTTTTTAACTTTGAGTCTAGTTAATGGCATTTTTACGACCACCCAATTTGAAATTTGATAGACAATACTAATTGTGACATCTTTTTGTGCATATATATGTATGTGTGTGTGTGTGTGGATTGTATAAAGCTAAGGCCCTAAACAATCAAAGAAAGGCCCACCTTCAAATAGTGTCAAAAGATGTTATTTTTGTACTGGAAATCTTTGTGATGCCCTGAGAATTTATTTTCATCTCTAATTATCAAATTTCAAACTTGAAAAATAGTGTAGATCGATCAAATCTATGCACACTTGAAAATATTGAAACTTTATTTTTGGTACAAAGATGTCACAATTACTTTTGGTCATTGGATGTAAATTCCAATAGATGAAAATGTGTTACAACATTCGAAAAATTTAATTTTGGATTTTTTGCCTAAATTGTGACACATCTTCAACCACCCGATTTTAAATCTAATGGTCAATGATGACCTTATTGTATCAAAAGTAAATGATCTCATTGTATACATTTCCAGTAACACATACAAAACACGTGCGACTTACTAATATGTGTTAATTTATTTGAAGACAATATCATAAAAAACAATAAGCACTATAAATACTTCCACATTAGCATGACCAAAAAAGAAAAATGCAATATAATCTATGTAATATAACATTTATAAGGGCACAAAAATGTAAGGAAGAAGAAATTTTAAATTTAGGAAGGGATTGTCTATAAAGATTATTTATCTTCTGTACATGGAGGTCACATTCATTCTTGTCCTTTAAATTTCAAAATGGGTGGTTGTAAGAGTGTTATTGAATAGAGCAATTTTTCAAAAAAAAAAAAAGTTGTCGGATTTTGTGACTCACCCTAAGCCCTCCAATTTAACATCTAATGAATGTGAATGATTGTGATCTCCACATGCAAAAGATAAATGATCTCTTTGTAGACAATCCCAATTAAAAATAATAAAATAATAATAATATGATCCATAGGGTGATAATCATCGGTCAACAATCATGATTTAATCACCGTCAAATGAAAAAATATATGTCATTAAACAAAGGGAAAATATCATTATAGGGGATGAAACCCCTTACGTCATCAATACTGGGGCTAAATTATCTTAAATTGTCTTTATTGACATATGAGGGTGCACTTTTTTTTTTTTCGTTTCAATTAGATATCTCCTCAAAAAGAAAAAAAATTACTCAAATTATATTTAAAATGTGAACAATCATAGTTATTTCGTAATTGGACCCCTAGGAGGGCCTCAACCAAATTACAAAAATATGTATATACATTATAAGTAAGAAACATTTTGTTCAGTATTAATAATGCCCGACAACTAGAGGTATTTTTGTTATTTTAAACTGCTTTATATATACCAAATTATAAAAATATCCCTATTTATTTTGTGTTTCTAATATTGAACAACTGTTTCTTATTTATAATGCCGAACAACTGGAGGTATTTTTATCATTTAGATGACGTTTTTTCAAGATCACATTACTAAAATGCTCATCATTGTTTATTATTCCAAATGCTAGACAAGGGATTTGGGTATTTTAATTTTTTTTAAAAGGGAGTCTAAATGAAATGAAAAAGAAAAAGTAACAACCTCAAATATTAATAGAGATAATTGGACCCCCTTTAGTAAAATTTTAAGGGGTCACATTCCCTTTTAATGGTATATGGCCACAAACATAAGGGTGGTAAAAAGAATTTTTGTCATTTTCTCTAGTATGTGTTTCATCTTGTTTGATCTGATCAACGGGTACCAAAGGAACAACCGGGCCGTGACCCGGGCGTTTGTGGGCACTTTCTAAAAGTTATGGCTATTTGCGTAATTTTCATAAACACGGTTATCTCAACTGCCCTTTATCTTTCCCGCCCATCTCAATTCTTCACTTTTCATTTTCTTTTGCATTTAAATTCGAACCTCTCTCTTTTTCTGGTATAATTCCAATTCCAAAGAGTAAAAAGGAGGTAGAAAATATGTCAGAAATGGTGATTTAGAAGCCATTAAATAGAGGATTTGAAAGCCTTTTACTCACCATTTTCCTCTAGTTTTTGCCTGAAATTTTGTGATTTTCTCGTGTGATTAGGGTGAACTCTTTCACTGCATTTTAAGTTCACGATTATTCTTTTCATTCTCACTGCAACAGAAGCAAAATCGACCTAAGGTTTATCATCGATTGTGACCTATGAAGCCATATGTGTAAGCAATTCCCAGAGATTTTAAGTAGTTTGAGTTTGAGTAATGTTGATTTCGATTAATTATGCAAAATTGGATGATTTTTTTTTATCTACATGAAACAACAGCGAATTGAGCTAATTTCACAGCAATCGAGCTCTGGAAGACCATAAGTGTAAGTAATTCCTGGAAATTTTGAGCAATTTTGGTCGTTAGATGGTTAAGTTTTCATTTAGTTCTGCAAATTTTATCAGATCTCAGGGATTCCAAAGATTTTATTTTTTTTGGTATTCCTCTTTTCTTCATTTTATCTTTGGTTAATTTCGTTTTGTAACCATGAACCAGTAACACCGGTGGCATCATGGTCATGGAGAATGATCAACAGAGATATGGACAGGTTGTAAGCAAATTACCAGGCCCTTGATTGCTTTTCAATCTTTACCTTTTTTTTCGCCGTCTTCTTTCCTAATTTATTTGATATCTGAAGATTAGAAGCAGTAGACCCTCTCAAAGCGTGAAATCAATCCCTTTTGATCATTCTCTCTTTGAATTAAAGCACTTCTCTGTTTCTTTAGACTGTGCATTGTGATTTATTTTTTGTGATACATAAAATTATACCTGATTGATGCTTAGTGCTTTGTTTAATGCTCTATGATATTCAGAACTTTTAAGGTCTTTAATGTCTGAAATTCCTCTTAATTTGGGTTGAGAATGTTATTGATACATTGACATTCAGGGAAGAATGGCTTTTTTATCCCATGATTTTGTTTACTTTCACTAGACTAGTGGGGGTTTGTACCGGAACCCCACTGTTTGTTAAACTATTAGTATCAATGAGGGGATAAATAAAGCCCATGACTATGAACTCCATTTATAGCTGGGAGTGAGTATAAGTACAAGAAGTCATGGCATGACGCCTAATTTTATACTCTTAAGGTGCATTGTTGATGTAAATTTTATATCTTTACTTACATTTTTGTGTTTGCCCTCAATATTCTCTGCCTTTTTCACTCCAAGTATGTTATGGAACCTAGCACATGCACGTCTTCTCATTCTTTTCTGTCTTTGACACTTTCTTTTGCTTGTGGAGTATGTTGAAACATACTGTTCATTTCCTGCACTTTGTGCTGCCACCACTTGTTGAGCATTCTGATCCTGAGTATTTTCATCTGTAGCACACTGTTCTTTCCCATCGCTGGTGGCATGTATATTATCATGAGTCATGACTTGTTGTGTGGTAGCATACTGCATGTGTGAGGCACTTTGGACCATACTTATCTTTCAGTTTGAAGGATGCATGAATTCCCATTCATTCCTAAATATTTTGGTCTAGCTGTGAAATTGGTTTGTAAGAAAGAGGTTATTGATTCCAACGTTGATGTCTGTTCCTAGTACAAATCTAGCAAAACCATGCATAATTAATAAACTATCTAAAGGATTCTTAAATACGACGTCAAAGAAGCATTGTGTTTCTAAAGTCTAAATTATTGTACCTGAAATTGGTAATAAATAAGCTCAGTAATTTATTTATTTTTCTATTAAAATCATGAGAAACCTTCACTGGTGAAATTCCATGTTTGGAAGGGGATTTAGTGGTGATATATATCAAACCTTTACATACTCAAGATCAGAACTCTTTTTGAGTGTTCTGATCCTGAGTATATTCTTGTGTAGCACACTCTTCTTTGTGATTGCTGTTGGTATTTGTATCAGCATGGCTTGTTGCATTGTAGCACACTGTTGGAAGTTGGAGCTTTCTCTTCTTGCATACTGTATTGTGGTGAGGCACTTCGAACCATACGTATCTATGAGTTTGTAGAACGCATGAATTCCCATTCATTCTCAAATAGTCTAGTTTAGTTCTGACAATGGTCTACATGGAAGAAAATGACTCCAACCTTGATGTCTGTCCCTTGTACAAAGCTAGCAAAACCCTTCATAAGTAATAAACTATCTAAGGTATTCTTAATATGAATTCAATGAAGCATTGTGTTTCTGAAGTCCACATTGTTATGCCTGAGATTAATAACTAATAAGCTCAGTAATTTATTTATTTTTCGCCATTAGGATTTCAAGAACATCTTCACTTGTGAAATTCCATGTTTGGAAGGGGATTTAGTGGTGATATATATAAAACCCTTGCATAAGGCATTCTGATTTTATCTAGGAAAGCAAATCTTTACTTGGTAGGATGCAGAATCCAGGGATAGATGTCGAGAGCCTTGAGATATGGGTTAATTTACCCTCTTGACCTTTTAATTTTCAAGTCATTTAACGTTGATTATTTGCTGTTTGTCAGAAGGTTGTACTTCTTAGCATTGATTTATCAATAATTTATTCATCACAATTACTAAAAGGAAAATCAATATTTTGTATGCTAATACTTAGTCTTATACTAGATTAACTCATGCTTATTGAATACATTACTTAATGATTATAACACCTATAATGGTTATTATAATTTGTTTTGTGGCTGAAGAGCCGCACTGGGTTATTTCTGTCTTGCTGAATTGACAACTGACTTTTCTGCCAAGTCTGGTAAAACTTGATTGAATTTGACTGTGAACCATCAATTTACTATGTGCTGCTAATGTACCTCTAAGTATGAAGTGGAATTGTTCTAGTTCAGAAAATTCCATCAATGCTAAGCTTAAGTAAAAATAGTTCATTGCATAATAGAACTCTGAAGTCTCGAGTGAAATGCGGTGAAACTTTCAGATTAGCAACCCAAGCTTCAGTAGCAGTTACTATCCTCATGGTCGTTCTCGCAAGATGTCCATTGGTCTCACAGTTGAAGACCCTGCATCTGTAGCTAGAAAAGGCCAGGCGATTGGACGTTCTCCATCTCTGATTTTTCCTTCAAGCAAAGCAGCCAATCCCATTCAAGAAGAGCAAGAAGTAAGAACAAATTCAAGGCAACAAGAGCTTTTGAACCACAAGAGTGAGTGGGTGTCTGTATCAGCCAAGAAGACGACACAGAGTGTCCAGTTTTATGGGAATCGAATGTCAAGTTTACAGTGTGATGATGGTGTTGCAAAGAAGTTTGATAGTGTAGCTTATAGTAGGAAGAGCAGGAAGGATGGGAAGGATGTTATGGTAGAAGAATGTGCCTTTAAAAGTACACAGATTATGCATCACTTATCCGGTAAGATTGACTTTATGTATTTGTTTTTGTTCTTTATATATTTAGATTTTTTGTTTCTTTTTTTTCTTTTTCTTTTTTAAAGATAAGTGTATGGATCCATCCCAAGTAAACTGAGGTATGCAGGCCAAAACATCCCTTTTGGTTTTTATGATCCAAGTTTGGTCGCAATATGCTAAATCTGCTTTCCAAACTTTATATTTATTTTACGTTTTGTTGCAATTCAGTACTATATTCTTCAATTTCACCCATTTTTATCAATATTGATTTGGTTGACAACTTAAATTTTAACAAACTCCAACCTCAGTTGGAAGGAAAATTAGCAAATAGGGTGACCTTTTAGCTGAAATTCCCAAAACTTGAACATATTTAACCTGAAGTTTCTTCATCAAAATATTTTGTCAACCACTGGACGATCTATTATATCCCCTGTTCAGTCTTTAGTCAGCCATTTGATCTGAAAATTTGCATCATTTGTGCAGTTTTCTGTTTAACACCAGGATCACTATTTTTGTTTCAAGAACAGGTGAAAGAGAAAAACAAGAGCCAGTTGGAGAAAACGAAGATTTAGAGACAAATAAAAACAGTGATTCTTTGAGAATGAAATTATGTGAAATACTGGGATCTGCAGCTTCACAGACTGAACAGAACATACACTTGGAACCTAATGCGGCTGAACAAAATGATCAGATTCCTGAATATGAAGAGCTTACTTCAGAGAAAAGAAAATCAAATAAGAAATTGGAACCCATCATGTTAGAGAAGAGTAAATCAGAAAGGAGAGAGGAACCCATGCCAGAGAAGAGGAAAACAGAAAGAGAGGAATCTATGTCAGAGAAGATAAAATCAAAACAGAGAGTGGAACCCATGTCAGAGAAGAGGAAATCACAAAAAAGAGTGGAGCCCATATCAGAGAAAAGGATATCAGAAAAAAGAGTGGACACCACGTCAGAGAAGGGGAAATCAGAAGACAACATGGCCCCAAGACCTAAGCAAAAGCACAATTCCGATACAATAGAGACTGATTCTGAGAGCCCAAATGCTACTGCAAGGAGACCCATCACTCGTTCAGTGGCTCGAAGAAGAAAACCATCTATTCGTAGCAGTACCATGGCAGAATTGCAGTTTCAGATTAATGGTGGTTATCGATATCAGAAATCATGCATCAACCAGGAAGACCAGAAGAAAAACATATTCGTGTTTGATGAAGGAGGAGGGCAATTGGGCCTCATAAATGGCCACATTTCCAAGTTCAAGGGAAAGCCTGAGTGGAAAGAATCAACAATTTGGCCGAGTAGAGGAGTTGCAGAGAAGTCATATGTAAATGTCAAGAAAACAACTAAGAAAGCACCCCTGAAACCCTTGCCAAATAATTTTGTTGTTGAAGATGATTTTCAGAGCCCATTTCCGCCCAAACAAACAAATGTTTTTAAAGAGAATTTCAGGAGTCCACCATCTCCACCACCAATGGTAGAAAAAGAAGCTTCGATTTGTAAGGTTCAATCAAAACCACCAAATCAATTTGGGGGCATGAGAGAACTTAGTCAAGCTCATTCACCCCAGAAACCTATAAGGGAACGAGGCAGTCATATTTCTCGGAATTCTCAGGAACCCAAAGCAGGCTCTTATGGACTGGGCACACCTACTCAGTCCTCTGTATCTTTTTTTTTATCAATTACCTGACAACTTTTCTTGGGTCTTCTTTTTACTAACTGGCGTTAATTTTTTGGTAGTTAAGAAGCTTCCATGTGTGAGATCATTCAAGCTTTGGAACTTGCTCGTGCAAATAAACATAATTTTTGTAAACCAATGGACATGGGTGACTTCTTTTAATAGTGCAAAAAAGAATGCTCCTACTATTCCTTAACACTAATGCAGGATGATACTAGGGAGTGCAGAGATAAGCAGCCGATGCCTTCACCCTTGGTAACCAAGCGAAATGCAGAAAACCTAGTTTTTCCTTCGCTTTCATCAGACAAACAAAGTCCTCACTCTCAGGGTTCAGAGCAGCATGAAGCTGATTTTGAAGGTTCTATTTTGACCCCTTTTGTGTGTGTGTGTGTGTGTGTGTTGATTGAGAGAGAGAGAGAGAAAGAGAAGAGAGAGAGAGAGAGAGAGAGAGAGAGAGAGAGAGAGAGAGAGAGAGTAGTT